GTATGTACTGCAGGCCCTTATGTTGGGGCTGCTGGAGCCACGCATGAGGACGCCACTGGACCCCTATAGCCAGGTGGGTGCGCCTTGGGGGTATACGAGGCTGGGGAAGCTAGAGCATGGCCTTGGATCTGTGACCCTGACACCCCCTTACCCCATGACGACGACCCCAGGAACAGCGGGAGCAGCTGCAGGCCCTGCGTCAGGCTGCCTTCCAGTCGGAGGGGGAGTCTCTGGGCAGTGGGCTTAGTGCCGACCGTCGCCGCTCCCTGTGTGCCCGCGAGTTCCGAAAACTGGGCTTTTCCGTGAGTGACCCCTCCCTAGCTCCCCACCCTTGCCTCAACCCGGGGCTGCTGTTGTTCCAGAGGCCGGGGGCCCTTCCTGAGCTGCCGGTCCTGCTTCCCCCCAGAACAGCAACCCCGCACAGGATCTAGAGCGCGTGCCCCCCGGCCTGCTGGCGCTGGACAACATGCTCTACTTCTCCAGACACGCACCCAGCGCCTACAGCCGGGTCAGTACTTGGTTGGGGCGGGTGGGAGATGGCAGGGTCCCCCAGATCTTAGCTCTGCTCCCATCTCATTTGTTTTTCTCCCACCCCAGTTTGTGCTGGAAAACAGCAGCCGTGAGGACAAGCACGAGTGCCCCTTTGCCCGGAGCAGCATCCAGCTCACTGTGTTGCTGTGTGAGCTGCTTCGTGTTGGGGAGCCCTGTGAGTGGCACTGGGCACAGCGTGTCTGGGAACGGGGGACGGAAGGGCAGAGAGGGCCAGGGGCTGCACACGCGTTCTCCCTGAGCCCCGCCTGCCCCCCTGCTCCAGGCTCCGAAACAGCCCAGGACTTTTCGCCCATGTTCTTCGGCCAAGACCAGAGTTTTCATGAGCTCTTCTGTGTGAGCATCCAGCTGCTGAATAAGACCTGGAAGGAGATGCGAGCCACCCAGGAGGACTTTGACAAGGTGGACAGGGTGGGAGGGAGGAGACCCGAGCCAGGGCAGGGGCTGTCCTCAGTCGAGGTCCAGAGCGCAGCGCTGAGCAGAACTTGGTGGCCCCAGGTTATGCAGGTGGTGCGGGAGCAGCTGGCCCGCACACTGGCCCTGAAGCCCAGCTCCCTGGAGCTTTTCCGAACCAAGGTGAACGCGCTCCCCTATGGGGAGGTGCTGCGGCTGAGGCAGACAGAGCGGCTGCATCAGGAGGGCACGCTGGCCCCTCCCATACTGTGAGTTGGTGGGCGAGGTTCCCCTTCCAGCCCCTAATCCCGTGCCCCGTGGGGCCTTGTCCCAGTCGGCAAGGCTTCCTCTTGTCCCCCACCCCCAGGGAGCTACGGGAGAAGCTGAAACCAGAGCTCTTGGGCCTGATCCGCCAGCAGCGTTTGCTCCGCCTCTGTGAGGGGACACTCTTCCGCAAAATCAGCAGCCGGAGGCGCCAGGGTGGTGGAGCCCGCGGGGGGGTGGGGGAAGTGGGGTATTGGGGGGGCTGGGCAGAGTGTGGCTGGGTTGGGGTCAGGGCCCCTCTCATCACTCCCCTCTTCCTTTCTGCTCACAGACAAGCTGTGGTTCTGCTGCCTGTCCCCCAACCACAAGGTGCTACAGTACGGGGACATGGAGGAGGGTGCCAGCCCACCCACCCTGGACAGTCTGCCTGAGCAGCGTAAGGAGGACAGGACAGGGGTCCGGGTCAGCCACCTGCCCTCCCCAGACCACCCCCTGTCCGGGGACTGCCTGGGTCCCAGTGGTCAGCCCAGCCTTCTTCCTGCAGTCCCTGTGGCTGATATCAAGGCACTGCTAACAGGCAAAGACTGCCCCCACGTCCGGGAGAAGGGTTCAGGGAAGCAGAACAAGGTGAGTGCAGTGGAAGCCTGGGGCTCCTTCCCACCCACACCTGCCCTGCTCTTTTCCCCCCGCTCAGCACTCTCCACTCCCTGCCTTCCCCAGGATCTCTATGAGTTAGCCTTCTCCGTCAGCTATGACCATGGGGAGGCAGAGGCGTACCTCAACTTCATTGCCCCATCCAAACGGGAGGTAAGTGTCTGGGCCAGGCTAAGCCAAGTTGAGCAGACGGGCCAGGGCAGAGATGGGCAGGCCCTCACAGAGCTGGCTCTGTCCCCAGTTCCACCTGTGGACAGATGGGCTGAGTGCCCTGCTAGGCAGTCCCATGGGCAGTGAGCAGACTCGGCTGGACCTGGAGCAGCTGCTGACGATGGAGACCAAGCTGCGGTTGTTGGAGCTGGAGAATGTGCCTATTCCCGAGCAGCCTCCTCCCATCCCCCCGCCCCCCACCAATTTCAACTTCTGCTATGACTGCAGCATCGCTGAACCTTGACAGTGAGGTTGGCTGTGTGCCTCAGCTGCTTGCATTGGTGGCGGTGAAGGGTGGGGGATGGAAAAGCCCAGACACCCTGACCATCAGAGGCTGCAGCAGAAATAAAGTCTGCTTGACTCCTGGGTGTATGTCGAGCCAGTTCTCCAACTGTGGGCCAAGCCTGCCTTCAAATTTAGCTGGCAAATGAGATGGGGCATCGGGTCAAGATCACTGCCTAGGGCCACAAACCTGGGCGGCTGTGGTTGAGGCTCTTCTCCAGGAGGGGCTGGAGACAAGCTGACCCTCCAGTCCTTCCACCAGATGAGCCCTCAACCTGTCTCAGTGCTGGGCTAGTTGAGGGGGAAGTGGCAAGGCAGAAGGTATTGCCCTAAGTGGATACCTTCCTGGGCTGCATTAACAGGGGCCTAGTTTCCAGAAGGCTCCTGACATCTGAACTCAGTCCTCAGTCCTGCTTGGCCACACCTTGTGTCCTTTTCAAGACTAGGAGGCCCTCTGATGAGAGACCTAAAAGGACAGATGTAAAGCCGGGTCTGTTTGGTGATGAATGGCAAACTCCGAATTCCAAATTTATGCCCCCAGGTGGTGGTGGGATGGGGCTGATGCTAACAGGAGGGTATTCAGTGCTGGAAGCCTGACATTCTGATCCAAATCTAGCCAGGAACATGGGTGTAGAGGGGGCCACAGCCAGGCAAGACCCCTGGGGTGGAAGAGGCGAGGGGTGTTGGCCCCAGCTGGAGGTCAGTTTCAGAGGCTAGTACACCAACCCACGGGCCCCACAGGGCATGCTGGAAGCTGCCACCTCTCTCTAACCTCCTCCATGCCCTTCAGTACTTCTCTTTCTCAGAACCTTCACACATATATTTTAAAGTATTAACCATCAACCTGTTACCTTGAAAACTGGTGCAATGGCATCTCCTTTGGACAATGCGCTTGGGGGAGCACCTGCTTCTGACTCAGGCCTCCAGGGCCCGACATGCCCACTCCTGTATTCAGAGCCTTCCCACCACACTTGGAATAGTTCAAGTTCAACTTGTTGAGTTCAAGATGGCAGCTAGGAGCGTGACCCCACTTGCAGTTAACTCTTCTAATACCATCAGTTCTTCCTCCCCAGTGTCTACTCCCTTGTCCAGGCCACCAGCATCTTGGCAAGAATCTTCCTGGCTTCCTGCCTCCTGTCTTGCCCCTACAGTCCTTAACACCCGGAGTGCTTCTTCAGACATGAAGCTGATGTGATTACACACTCACATGCATGCTACCCCCATCCTGTATTTTTCAGTGTCTCTCTGTTGTCTGTGGGATGATGGTCAGTTACCCGCCTGAGCAGTAGAACTAGATGTGTTGCAGACATGTTGTGGTTTAGGACGTCTAACAAAAGGTCTGTGGCAGGGGCACCTGGGTGGCTCAGTAGGTTAGAGCCTCTGCCTTTGGCTCAGGTCATGATCTTAGCGTCTTGGGATCAAGCCCCGCATCAGGCTCTCTGCTCAGCGGGGATCCTGCTTCCTCCCCTCTCTCTGCCTGCCTCTCTGCCTACTTGTGATCTCTGTCAAATAAATAAAATCTTAAAAAAACCAAAAAAACAAAAAAAAACAAAAAAAAACAACTTGTGGCATGCAGAGTTCTCCAGAGTTCTCTGTGCTTGATTCGAGCTGGCATCCTCCCTGAGGCCCAGGGGCCCCACCCTGCCCTCCTTGGCACCAGCTCTGGCTTGCCATGTGCACGTCCCCGGTCCTTTCTCGTTGCCCTCTTCCTTCCCTGCCGCTCCTTTTTCACTGACTTGAGTCTTGCCTTGATCTCCCAGCTCTTCGTTGCTCTCCTAGGCTCCCAGTTCCAGGTGCTTGTTTATTTATGCATACCCTGCACACTGGACTGTCCCTCTCTACTGGGTCATTTGCCTCCACCTGACCTGGGGACTGGGAGAGCTTCGGCACCTTTGAGCCCCACATAAAGTGCAGTGCCTGTGGGCACTTGGGCAGCCATGCTAGCTGCTCCTAGAACTGATGGACAGATGCACAAAGAGGGTGGACAGATAGTTTCTCACAGCTGCTGTTGAGAAGTCACTGGCACTGTTTAGGAGGTTGGACTAGGGGACCTCTAATATCCCTACCCAGAGATACTGTCCTCTTTTTTCTCTCTGATGACAACCTTACCATATCCTTAATAAGTGTGGTCCTAGGGCCTGGCTGGGGGACATGCTTGGACGCTCAGACAGGGGGAGGCCTCTAGGCTTCTAGTCTCCCACCATACTGGGCAGGAAGTTAGGACTTGCTAGGGGTACCTGTGGGGCTTTGGGTCAGGTGTAAGGAAGAAACTGGCTATGTGCCTCAGTGCCTCTGGTGTTTGTCCACATTGTCCCTGGGCTTGGCTGGGCTGTTTCAACAGAGGTTGGGGGGAGGGGGCCCTGTAGTCTGAGAACTTCAGACAAGGAGGTAAGATCTGGAATTTTTAATTTTGTTTGGGTTTACAACAAAGTCTGTGACTTGGCTTCTAAAGCTTGGTGCTAGTAGGGGCCGGGTGAGCTGCTTACAGGGGACGAGACAAGGTGAGGTGCGGGCCTTGGGTGTGAGAAGTGGGCAGGGCAGGAGGCACAAGGTCTCCTCTGCAGCCCCTGATGCATCCTGGGGGCCTGGCCTCCAGACCCAGGCCTGGCCAGGAGAGCAGGAGCTGGCATTTCCAGAGGCCTGTGGCAGCGATGTATAACTGGGAAGGGCTCCTGCTGGGCTCTAGGGCAGACTGGGGCAGAAAGGCCCCTGGGCTGCCCTGGATTAGCCCTATACCCAGTCCTAGAAAAGGGTTTATAGCTGGGGGAAGGGGCTTTGGGGTATGTGGCAGAGTGGGGCAGAAGCACAGCGTCAAGCCAGGTCAAGAGGCCAGGGCTGGGTCTTTGGGGGCAATGGAGGCTGAGGCCCAGGGTTGGTTACTGACCTGGCCCTAGAGCGTTAAGGTCAGGTCAGCCCCTCCCACATACCGGGACTGGATGCAGGTCACCTGGGGCAGCTGGGCTTGGAGGTGCCTGATGGCAGCCATGCTGATACGAGGGCACATGGCCACATCTAACATCCGGAGCTGCTTGCATGCCTGCCCGATGGTACCCAGGGTTCTGTGGGGAGGCCTCTGATGAGCGCAAGCCAGTGTGGGGACCTGGCCCAGCCCCTGTACCATGGCATCATCAGACAACTCACTGCTCTGTGAGCTGTCCGCAGCTGGCCAGGTTGAGGTGCTGCAGCCTGGGCCAGGAGCGGGCTGCCTGGGCCCAGCCCTCATCGCTGAGGAGGCTGCAATGACTTAGCACCAAGTGTTCCAGGCTGGGGCAGCCCCTGGCCACGGCCACCAAGCCCTTGTCTGTGAGTGCTGGCAACAGGCTCAGGGACAGCCGCCTCAGCTCGGGGAACTGGAGCACCTGCAAGGATGGGGGTGAGGAGTGGGGGTGGGTAGAGTATGGCACTGGAGCCCAGAGGCCTTGCAGGCTCTCCCACCCCTAGCCAGAGGAATGGCCATATGTAGCAGAAGCCAAAGAGAATGGGTCATTTTCTAAGCAAAAAAAACGGGTTGGCCTGGGCCTGGCTCTGATGCCAGGATCCTTGGTCTGTCCACACCCCCAGGCCCACACCTTGGCCAAACTGGCATCAGTTAGTTTGCTGCAGGCTGTGAGATCCAACTCCTGCAGGGCCCGCAGCATGAGCAGTGACGGGCCCTGTGGCTGGGCAGAAGGGTCCGTGGGGACCGAGGCCTGATGGTCCAGCTCTTGGTGTAGCTGTGGGAAGAAGCACCTGCTTCTCAGGTTCCTCCAGAGTTTGGCCCTCAAATGCTCCTAGAGAGAGAGACTTAGGAGGGGCAGGAGGGCAGCTGAGCCCAGGGACCACACCCCCTTCCCTGACCTGCACCTGGGGCTCCTGCGCAGGCTCCTCACTTGGTTCTCCCAGCCCCAGAAGACCCCAGTCTTGGAGCTCCGTGCACCAGGCCAGACGCAGGACAGAGAGGTGGGTTAGGCAGGTGCAGATGGCCTGCAGGGTCCTATTGGTGAGGGCCACACAGGAGGACAAGTCTAGCACCCTGAGGCTCAGGCCCAGCACTGGGATCAGGGAGAACACTGAGGCGTCCTAGGAGGGAAGTGGAGAAGGGAGAGACCAATGGGAAGGCAGCTTGTGCAGGTGTCCCTAGGAAGGTTCTGCGGACGTTCCAGCCCCACAGGCAACAGGGAGCTACCAGATGGTCCGTGGAGGGAAGCAACCATGTCCCTGTTCTGGTAACAGGTAGGTGCGGGACACCAGGAGGAGTTTGCCGGAGGCCCAAGGCCTAGACTGTCTGCAGTGGGAAGGGTGCAGGTGCAAGTTTCTAAAGTATCTGTTGTGCCTGTACTACCAGGCCCTGCGGAAGTTGTGGGCGGAGGCAGCCTTCTGGCCGCAGCTTAGTGGATCATGGATAGACACCTGGCCCTAGCTGAGCCAATCAGGTATGCTCCCTCCAGAATTTGAAGCAGATCATGAGGTCACAGTGGGGGTAGGGCTGCCACCTGCCAGGAACAGGAGCTAAAGGCAGAGTAGAGAAAGCTGGTTTTTAAAGAGGTTTGTAAGAGACACAAGAACGCGGGGCCCCGGGGAGAGCAGCTAGGAGACACATCGTGCTGATGGGAAAATGAACTGGGGGCAAGGGAAACGGTTGTGGAGGAAAGAATGAGAGACTGTTTTCAGGCTGGGAATGCCCTGTGCACACTGAGAGGTTGAAGGAATAATCCCCTGAAGAGGGAGGGACTGACACTGCCAAGTTAGGGACTTCACCCAGAGGGACAGGGCTGAGCCCTATTGAAGGGACTGGCCGCAGCGAGGACATGACCATGACTCCCACATCACATTCCCTTCTGTCAGACCGTGCCGAGCAACCTCCTTGTGTAACCTCAGTATCCATTCCCTGCAGAAACCCCTCTCTCGTCTTCCCTGCCTCCAGAACACCCGCCATCAGTGCCCCTACCCAGACTACAGGGGTCACGGAGCGCTTAGTGTGCCAGCTCGTGGGCTGGGCCAGCCTGGTCCCTTGGACCTCCTCTGTCTGGGCCCACAGTAGGGGGTAAGGGGAGGAGTGCCTACAGGAGCACTGTCTTTCCAGGCTCCTTTCCCCTTGTGTCCTCAGTTCCTTTCTCATCGCTGTTGCTTGGACATCGATACTGGGCAGTGCCTCCCTGCTGCCACGGGTGGCAGCTCCCCCAGCCCCAGCCCTGCAGAGGAAGGAAGGGGAGGGTGTGCTCACCTTGAGAGAGGAGCAGTAGGCCAGGCTGAGGGAGACCAAGGGGGCTGGAGCCCTGTGCCCTGAACCCAGGGCCTGGGCCAGGCCCTGCCCGCTCACCAGACAGCACTCTGCCAGGTCCAGGCTGCGCAGTTCCCGCAGCCCCCCCAGCGCTGTGCATCCCGCATCCGTCAGCCGCTGCAGCTTCCTCAGGCGGAGGCACCACAGGTGCCCCAGGCCCCGGCCGATGGCCAGGAGTGCACCGTCGGCCAGTTCTGAGCAGCCGCTGAGATCCAGGGAGGTCAGGCCCGACTGCAGACGGCACAGGGCGGTCACAGCCTCTGTGGAGAGGTCCTGGCAGCTGTGCAGCCTCAGCTCCCGCAGCTGCAGCCCGGCCACCCCGCCCAGGGCGTTCAGGGCCTCTGGGAGCAAGCCAGTGCCGCTCAGGTCCAGGGCGTGCAGCCTCCCAGCCCTCTCCTTCACGAATCGCAGCAGGTTGTGGAAGGAGAGCTGGGAGCGGGAGGAGTCTGGGGGGCCAAACGAGCCCTGGGCTGGGCGTAGTTCAAAAGTGAGATGACAGTAGGCCAAGGAGAGGCGCTCCAGGTTGGGGGCACAGCTGCTGAGCCTGTTGAAACTGAGGTCGGTCAGGTCCCGCAGGCCAGTCAAGTTGAGCTCACACAGGCCACGCAACACCTGCCGGACCTGCTGCGCCATCTTGGGCTGCGCGAGCAGCGTGCCCGATGTGAAGAGGCCATGGCAGCCACTGAGGTCAAGGCTACGCAGGGCCGGGCAGCCCAGGATCAAGGCCACAAAGGAGGCCTCCGTGGGGCTGCTCCCACTGAGGCACAAACTCTGCAGGTGGGGGCCCAAGTGGTAGGCGACAGACTCCAGCACCTGTTGCGAAGCTGGCGAGCCATCCAGGCTGGTCAGGCTGATGCAGGTGACGCCCCTGAGGCCCAGCCTCTTGATGACCGGGAGGGAGGCGGAGGACACGGGGATGTTGTACTGCACATTTGTCTAAGGGGCAGCAGCAGGAATGGAGTTAGCCCTCTTGCCTCAGAGGGGGCTGGCCATCAGGTCTGGCGGCCAGTCATTGGCAGGTCAGGGAAGGGCCCTGTCACAGTGAGGACCCACTGTGGTGTGCGGTGTCATGTGTGGTTGAGGGGGTACTGGTGGGAAGTGGGAGGTGGGAAGACAAGTCACTCTGGGGCTCAAAGGAGGTGACTGTGAGGGGAGGGCAGGAAGGTTATCGACAGATGGGACTGGATGCCTGTGGACGGGTGGGGACAGGGTGGGGAGCTGGCATTCTGGGCGCAGGGGGCTGGGGTGGCCTGGAGGAGGGCCAGCAAAGCTCCCAGGGGGCAGAGGGACTAAGTGTGCTGGATCCCAAACTTTGGGACTTTCCGAAGGTGGCCCTGAGACCTGTGGCCTCGGTTCCTTCTGCAGGGAGTCAGCTCAGCATTATCTAAGCAACCAGCCTCCCCCCACTTTTTCCAGAGACTATAAATAGCCCTCAGAACAGCTGAGGGCATTAAGAAGCAAAGCAGTTGTCACTTCCCACTACCGTGGGTGGCCCAGGTGCCAGAGGCCTAGGGCAGGCAGTGAGGCCTAGGTCCCCTGGTGGCCTGAGTAGCTCAGCCACTTGAGTGTTTGTGAAAAGGTGTGTGTGTGTGTGTGCGTGCGTGCGCGTGTGTGTGTGTGCACATAGGGGTGCACCAATGTGTGTGGGCCCTGCCAGCTCCAGAGTTCAAGATGTGCTTGTGATTCCTGGGGCTTGTCTCTGGGGAGTCTATATTATCTGTCCAGGGAAGCAAGGAGAAGCCTTCCATTTCTTTGGCAGAAGCTAAGGGAATGAATCTTGAGGTGCCAAGAGTATGGGGCTGGCCCTGCTGTAGGGCAACAGGAGAACAAGAGTGGGGTGGGGGGTGTCCATGACTGATGTGGGGTGGAGGCTGGTGGTGAGCTCAGGGCTAGGTTGAGGCGGGGAGAGCCTGGCTTGTCTAGGAGTTTGGGGAGCCCCCATTTCCATAGACTTTTCCCTGATTTTGTGCCAGAGGGAAGTTATAGCAGGTGTGGGGGAGGTGGAGGAGGGTTTGGCTTCTTCTCTACCCCTGACGGATGGCCAGGCCACAGGCAAGCAGTACTCAAAGGCTGTTTCAATACATCATCGTGATCCTGACACAGGAAAGCAAGCTCTCTAAAAAACCTGTCCTGTCGGTTACTGCAAGAACAAGCTGGTGTCCCCTGCTTCTGCCCAGCGAACGTCATCAGAAGGGATTCAGAAAGGTAGGATGACACATAAGGTGCATGCCTGCAAGATACTTATCAGCAGGATTCTCCCAGGAAGACACGTGAAGCCCATTCCTGGGTGGAGAAACCAGGCTGCCTTCTGCCAGAGAGAGAAGCAGCTCCCTGTGGCTGTCATCATGGGAAGGAGTGTGTGGTAAGAAATGGGGGCCAGCTCCTGACCACTTCCACGGGAATGAGGGGTCAAGCCAGGCCCCCTGTCCAGACCCCATTTCCATTCCCAGGATGTGGTCATTGCAGACTAAAGGTGCACTTGCCGCAGCTCCCCCTCGTGGACACTGGGAGGCAGTGGGGGTGGGAACCCCATGGGCCTGGCTCCGGGAAGGTAATTGAAGGGGATGAAAAGATCAGAGGGGAAAGGTTTGAGAAAGAAAGGCTAAAGCTGGCTGCCAACAGAGGGGCCAGTCCAAGGATAGAGAGTGAGCCGTGGCTGCAGGTGCAGAGCAGGGCCCGTTGCTGAAGCAGCGCTGCCCCTGCCCTCATGTTGTGTCCCCCACTCCCATCCCCACCTCCCAGGCTCCACCAGCTGCTGTCCTTCTTTGCCTTCCTTCCTGAGCCTTGGAGGCCAGGAAATGTTCTCATGTTCTCTCCCTCTCCCACCGCCTCCCTATGAACAAGGTAGGTGAACAACTGAGGGGGAGGGCACTGGCAGTCAGCCTAGAGGCCAAGTCCAAGGGCAGACTAGTGGCAGGAAAACCCACCAAACTCAGGGGCAGGGCCTGGTCTGAAGGACTTCCAGCGGCTATTGAGAGATGTGTGTGTGTGTGTGTGTGTGTGTGTGTGTGTGTGTGTTGAGATCTGAGACCACCTCCTGCTCCCCATTGTTTTTCTTGATGGGGAGGGGGCAGCCTCTAAGCCATCAGCCAGGTAGTCTGCCCTGGACTCAATGTGCAGCGCCCAGGAGCAGCCCTTTAGGGATATTGATCATCTGTGGGGAGCAGAGCAGCAAGCAGAAGCAGTACGCTCCTGGGTCACTGCGGTCTTTGGCCCCAACGTAGGAAGGTCCCCCTCCCTAGGCCCTAGGCAGATGCTTCTGGAGCTCCAAAGGAGGACTGCAAGGTTATCTGCTCCAGCTTCAGCTGCCCTATTCACAGAGAAGCCAACCAGCCCCCATCTCATCCTTTTCCAGAGCTGGCCTCTTAGGACTAGATGCCAAGTCATTTGGGAAATGCCCCAAATCTGCTAAAATGGACACATAGCCCTTGACTATGAGAGGCCAGGGTTCCACTGCACCTCACGAAGCCCTGAGCTGTGATGGCAACCTTGTGTGCAGGCTTGGAAAGCCATCTGCTAGAGGAATGGCTCTCCTGTTTGCTGGCACGGGAATCCAAAGCTAACATGCCTGTTCTCCAGAAGAAAATATATGCCCTGGAACCCAGGGGCTTTGGTCTCTACAGAGGAATTAGACCTTGGGGGTCATTTCCAGAGGCTCCTCTGGGCCTCTGTAAATACCCCAGGCAGGAGAAGGGAGTGGAGGGCAGAAGCTGAGCTGTCTGGAGTTCTTCACAGTGACCAGCCCAGTGGCAGGCAACCAGGGCTCTCCCCGAAATGGGCAGAGTGTGCGTGTGTATGTGTGTATGTGTGTGTGTGTGTCTGTGTGTGTCTGGGTGAAGGTTCTGCCTTTGTCTACCTTCTTATTTGAGAAGAGATAGGATTAAGTGGGAGCAAGTCAGGGGGACTAAGAAGTCACCCATCCAGCATCCTAGCCTAGCCTGGTGAGGTGCACACCCCAGCCGTGCCTTGGTGAGCTGGAATCCTTGTTGGCACCGAGGAAGTGCTAATTTCTTAACCACTTGCCCATATCGGGGCCCTGGGAGATGGTTCCTACTAGTAAATCCTACAAATTGCTCTCTGGGACATGGTGGTGGTGGGATGTCAGCAGAGCCCCAGATGCCCTGTACCTGTGGCCTGTCCTTCGAGGGCTCCCAGCCCAGGTGGGGCTGAGTTCTGCTGAGACACCAAACAGGTCTCCGTGTCTGGAGCTCACAGTTAGCTGGAACAGCCTGAGGGCTGAAATGGTGGCGGACTCTACCATCTCAAACTCCGCCCTCCACCTCACTCTCCTATCCCATTCCAGTCTACTCCTGACTGCCCACTTTGGTTTTCCCCTCTCCTTCTTGGCTGGACTCCAAGAATCTCTCTCCTGATTCCCTCTTCTTGGGGTCCTGGGGCCCTGCCCCCGTCATGCTGCTGTGCCCATTCTTCTTGCCTTGCCAAGATGAGACTGCTGCCTCTTCTGGGTCTGTGCTAAGCGTACAGAATTCTGCCCATGGAAGCCATAGTCTCCCCTCTTGTCTCCCCCACTACCACCTCCTCCCCTGGCTCTCTTCCCCTCTGTCTCAAGGTTTCTCTCCAAGCCCACCATTCTCTCCAGTCCCTGATGCAAGGGCAGCACCGTCCCCTTACTCTGACATTCTCAGAATTCTCAGAGACGAACTGTTCTGTCTCAAAAAGAAGCCAAAGTCATCAAGTGGGGAAGGCCCTCCCTTTGCCATGTTCACATCCGCCAGCCAGCTCCCCCAACCACCTTCCCTCTCCAGGTCCTGGTCCCCTTCTCTCGACCTGTTGGGCCTGCTCCCGGCTTCTGGCATAGGAAACGGCAGCCCCTGCCTTTCCACTGCTTCTTCCTCAGTTTACAAATACCTCGGGGTCATAACTAACAAAAGGCCTCCCTTGATCCTGCCCCACCCCCCACCACTCCTGCTTCTCCCCTTTCGTCTGTCCATGCCCACACCACGCTCGCCACCTTGTTAGACCTCTTGCCTCACCCACTCACCCCTCCATCACTCCCCCATGGGACCTCTCATTCCTGGCAACAGCTCCCCCTCAGCCAAGTCACCAACATCTGGGGGCTCCTCTGCAGACCTCCCACAAGTGTCCTTTCTGCCGTGCCACCTGCTGTGGGTGGCCAGTCTCCCCCACGCTCTCTCCCACTGGGTGTTCTGTGTCTCTGCCTGCCTGGCTCTCCTCCTACCTTCTAGCCTGCTCCCTATCAGCCTCTTTTGGGGGCACCAAAGAAGAGAGAGACCCAGTCCATAGAGGAGTGAATTCTTTACTGTACATTCTGCCCCATCACACACACACACCACACACCCCCCTCCCTGATCTTTTCATTCCCTTGAATCACCTTCCCCACCCACTGGGATGGGTCGTCCCACTCTCCTTAAATCTGAGAGAGGGAGCCAGGCCCTTGGGGTTCCCACACCCCACCGCCTCCCGG